TAGGTTTAATGCTGTGGAATAACATTTGGGAGGGTAAAACCTGAAAGGAGAAATGTAATGGGCATAATTACTTTGATAGATGAGAGAGAGCAGAAAGCAGGCAGGCAGCATGTGGTGGGAGCAGGCCAGCAGCACACACAGTCACCCCGACATTGCTCGCCGTCCTCCCAGCAGCAGCACTGACCCGTGCCTCGTGCCCAGACATCCCCAGCTTCCCTCTGCCCAGGTGCTTGAGAGGGAGAACAGCCCTTACATGCAAGATAATCTGCCTCCGACATCAACTCGCACCTTAATCTCCAGCAGAGATCAGCTTAAGCTGCAAATTGTTAGCTGTAAAATCTTTTCCTAAACTCTTGCCTCCGTTAATTATTAGATTGGATATTCATGGTAGCCAGGTAAAAGGTCAGCTCCTGCTACCGCACTGTCCCATTTCTGGAGCAGGCTGTAATGATGAGTCCTAAAGCCTTGTATATGCTGCATAAAGGTTTATTTCCTTGCCCAGGTTTTGAAGAAGCTTCATTTCAATGTTGCTGAATAACCCTTCATATTTCGATTGAGTAGTGCCCCTGGGTCTCTGAGCATTGCCTATGAAGTCCTGCCAAAGGATTTTATACCTCACCAAGATCTGTTAGGGAAAAGTAGCCTCAAAGCAAAGCTGTATCTAGAACTACCTGAAGGGGCTTCCTGTTGTCAGCATTTTGTACTCACCTCACAAATTCCTGGCTTTGCTTTTTGAGGGCTTGATGTTAGGGACTGGGTATTATCAGCAAAGCTTCTGCAGTAATTTTACCCTTAGTCCAAGTTTCCGAGTAGCCCTGTTTCTTTTATATCTGTTCTTACCTTTGCAGATATTCACTCAAGCATTGCCTTCTGCCTACCCCATTCTGCATCTTTCCAATGTACTGGCTATGTCAAAATACAGGTGTGATTTCACAAGAAAATGGAGGAAAAGAGTGTCCTCAAAACAAAAGGAGACCTAATCCACTTGTATAACTGGTGACCTCAACCAGATTTTCCACACCATTTTCTGCTGGGTCTCTTGGCTGCTGCAAGCAGAGTACCTCACGCTGCATCCCCTGCACACACCTGAGCACAGAAGGCATCGGTAGCGCTTTCAGAAACCCCAGACACTACCAGAAAAATTCTCTCCAAAGAGATGGATCCCTTCCAACACAAGCACGGGAGCTGGAACAGAACAAAAGTGAAGTAACTGATGCTGCTGGAGATGCCTTATCCTTCAGGATAGGGAGTGAGCCTACAGACTGCCCTAGCTGGGATAGCCCAATTCCTACCCTCCCTGAGCCAGCCCACCCCTTGTCCCAGCGGAGAGAGATGCCGCAGGGTGCTCCCTGCACCTGAGCAGCTCTCCGTGCTCTAACAAACTCACAGCTGTAGTTGGGAGCAACAGCATCTCTCCTCCTCCAGGTTTTCAGAGAGCACAAAGCGGTGTAGCCCGTGGCTCCAACGGCATCTCCTGGCTCTGCATATATTTATCTTCCAAATGTTGAAGCTTTTGGTTGCTTGGAGCCAGCCAGGAGGAGCAACAAAAAGCAGCTTCCTATTATGTGAGAAAGCATGTGGTTCTGAACAGTTCACAGTATATCACAAAACATGCAAGCAGGGCTCTGCTTAGAGAGCACCAATCCCCAAAACTCCTGCAGAGAGGGAGGGATATCTGCTAGGGAATATATTTTGTAGGGCAAGTAGAGGAAAGCTATCTGTGAAGCTGAAAAGTGGTTTTATTAGGACTTGTTATCTCTCCTTTGTTGGAGGGGAGGGCTAGCATCAGTTTGTCACAAAGAAAACCTTCATCTCTGTCTTCCAACACAGTGGCTTAAGCAATGGCTTAGATGCTGGTGTCTTAGACTGCAACTGATCCTTCCATTTGTTTCTGCTCCTGGAGGCTTTTAGCAACAACTGGTGGACTGCATCACACCAGGGAAAGGTCATCATGATATGCCTCCTTCCCCCTTGGAGGGAGGAAGGATCTGGCTTTTGTGTATCACCCTCATTAATGGAAGCATCCTGTGCTGAAAATGGCTTTGAGGAGCAGAAATTCTCCACAGTCTGACTGCTCTCCAGCTCCCTCCCCAATCCACACAGTCAGGGGAAGATAATGCTCAGACGCTGGCCCCAGCAGCCACAGCACTGATCTTACGTTGGGCTTCTTAGACGAGCCCTACATTGCTGCTCTCAAAGTGAGGAGCCACAGGTCCTTTCCAAAACACCTCTCTCTGGTGCGCACTTCACAGGAAAGCTCTGCGATTGATCTGACAGTGCCTTGCACTAAAGGGCCACAGCAAACTCTGCATTCCCAGGTACTTACTGCAGCTTCAGGTTCTGATAGAGAGATCTCGTGTGAGGAGGCCTTTGCCAAGGTGACAAAAACCCTCCAGGCTTTGGGTGCAAACAAGCTCCAGACTCCCTCAATACCCAGGCAAACACTCACGTGGTTCTCCATCACATTTGCAAGAGGAGTTGTGTGCTTCATGCTCAACATAAGTGAAATGCTACCCCTTCTCTTTGTGCTGGACCGCAGGAGGCACACCGCGGCTGCAGCAGGTCTCTCCCAGCCACAACTTGACAGGTTTCTTCTGTTCCAGGAGAGAGAAAAGCTCTCTCAGAAGAGGTTTTAAGGCTTTGTGCTATTCTTTCAGTAGTTACCAGCAAAATATATCCCACCAGCCTGCCTGATCAGACTTCTGCAACTCTGCAAGGAGTACGGGTATAGGTTTGCACTGAGTGGAAAGACAGCCTGCAGCCACCAAGTTCTCAAAGGAATATAACAGCCTCAGTGACCCACCACAGGACCTCTGGGAGTGGAGAAGAAATTAAAAGATACAAATCATCCTCTCTGCTAGGAAACCTGCATGACATCCCCCTGCTTTTTCTGTCGAGGCTGAAGAGCAGGGGAACAGGCCACACAGAGGAACTGAGCAAAAGCATCTGAGTTACAGGATTTGGGATTGTTCACAGCAACTGGCTGAGGGTTTTTAAATAAAAACAACTGCAGGGAAAAAAAGAAAAAAAGGCACTGTTCCTACGCAGGCTGCAAGCAGGAATTTGTATTTTAGGTGATGAGAAGATGGCTATTTCAGCTTCCAGAAAAGACCAAGCTTCTCACAAACCTGCTACGTGTAAGAACAAAGGCCTGAGCCCAAGGAAAAAAAAATTTTTAAAAAATGAAGGAGGCTGTTGATTCTGACCTTTCCACTGCTGAAGGGAGCTACACCTTTCTCAGCACAGACACTGTCTGAAGACTTGTAGCTTGAGTAAGCTGGAGAGTAAGAACTGGGTTTGAAGATCAGCAAGCTTTCAGTATTCCTTTTTCTCTCTTTTGTGCTCCTGGTTTTAAGAGCAAATAAGCACTGACGAAACAGCATTTTATATGCTCTGAAAGTTTTGTTCCAGCAATACACAACCTGCCTTTGGCATAGGAAATAGGGCAAAGACCTTGGCAAAGGGTATGCCCTAAGCCTGGGCCCACAAAGCTCCGGTCAGGTGCTACATGCTATGGAGCCAGTGACACCCTAAAACAGAGTGGCAGAGAAAAGCCTAATCCTGAGCTGGTTTCACCCATGGCTCTAGGCTGGTGGGATACAGTCTGAGGGGGAAGGAGTCACCTCTCCACTCTGCACGAGCTTGCAGTCCTGGAGAAGGCAACAGTCTTCCCTCAGCAGTGCTGACCTCTAACAGCAGCCAAAAAATATGCAGTTTTTCAGGCACATATTCTGCTCTGCATTTATTTCCTCTTCGTAAGTGCTCTCTGTTGCAGACACAGCCTCCTTGCCAGGCCTGGGACGGTGCTGCAAGAAACCAAGTTTTGTTTTGTTGCTTTTTTATGGCAAGCTTGCAGCTCCCAAACTGCCCAGTGCTAGAAAACAGAAGGCTGCTGTGCTACCCGCCACCCCCCC